CTCCATGTCATTCCTTCTTCACCGACTCTGTCCACACCTTTGGGGACCCCTGGACCTGCTGGGGTTGGACCCCAGCAAAAAATGTTAAAAGTGATCAGTAAATAGAGTGTAAAAGAAGGGATGGGATGGAATAGGGTGGAGAAGGGAAGGGGAGGGAAGAGTAACAAGAGGGACAAGGGATAGAGAAAAAGAAGTTTTAAAAGGAGAGCAGAAAAGAAAATATTTTTTTTTAAATGAGATAGAGAATGAGTGCAAAAGAAATTTTAAAAAGGATGAGCCAGGAAAAAGAGACAATAGAAGGAAGAAATGAGAAGTTTAAGGAGAGGAGTCAATAAGAAAAGAATTCAGTTCAATGGGATGATGAGGCTGTAATCTTCTGCCTCTGGGATAATAAGTCACTTTAGCAGCTATCTTGCTCCCTCTACCTACAATCTTTAACTTATACTTCCAGTAGAAAGTTTCAGGTATGCTTCTTAAACAGTGGCCACCTCAAATGCTTTTTGAAAAGAGAAAATATAAAAGAAATTATTGTGAAATAGACTTATCCTATATAATAAAAGAGAAACATGGTAATTGGAAAAAATAAAATAAAAAACGTATAAAAACAGATTGAGCATAAAAGTAAATATGAGTATCCAGCTATCTTCTATTAGGCTTGGCATTAAAAAGATTTGCAGAAAAATAGAAAATAATGTCACTATTCTAATTTTTTTTCTTTGGAGAATATTGTTATTCTTCATATAAACGTCTTATATCTGAGTTTATTATCATTTTAAATAAACTAAGTATTTTTAAAATTTCTCAGCTTTATTTCTGCTGTGGTAAGTACTTGTAGCCCACATAAACAAAGCTCTATTGGGTCCTCAGTAGTTTTCAGAGTGCAAAAGGGTCCTAAAACCAAGAAGTTTGAGGATCGATGCATTAATCTACTTGTTCTCCTAGTTACTGCACTTGAACTATTAGAAATGTTTTCCAAACATATCAGTTTGTTCAAGAGAGTTCCTTGTCCAGAAGATCTAGTTTTCACTTCTCCCCTCCCCGCTTACAGTAGAAAGCATACCATGTTGGGTAATTACAGCATGTAAAAAGTGGAGATGTGGAGTATGTTTTATTTCTCCCCTGAGGCCCATTTTATTTCCACCCCACTGAAATCTTCGGAGCCTTGGAGAGGAGCCCATGGCTGCATGCTGCCCATTTTAAACCGCTGCCCTTAAAGGCTGATTTCATGCTGAGGCAGCGGAGCAGTTGGTTGTGGACTCGGATGTACAGCAGACAGTATTTTTTGTCAGATCCATTCTCTGGGTCCCAAGCATTTTTAATTAAAGTTGTTCTATAAATAGTTATGTTCATTTCTCCTGGATCTTACAAATCAGTATACTAAGAATGGTCAGGCTTAGGTCAGGATATCTAGCCATAAGAGGCAAATAAAAGTGAGTGCATGAAATTGAGCTTCAGGGATTGAATACTACTACTTTTTAAAATAAATGCATTGTCTTTCCAAAGAAGGTTGAATTTATTTTAAATAAATACCTAGAAGGTATTTTTCTTCTTTCATTTTTCAATAACTGGAGTTAATCATTCCTTGAAATTTACAGTCAAGTGAAAGGAAAAGAAAGACAGATATTGAAGACATTTATCATAGAGCCAGAGTCCTGAGACTGCCCTTGGGGGTTACCAAGAGTACGGAGGTATGATTACTTGCTTCTGACACGCCCGGTCCTTTAAATCCCATTACTTCTTTCGACTTTGAAAATTGAATTTCTAATGGAAACCCAGCACATAAAGCCAAACATAAGAGAACTTTTAGATGAAAAAGGTGATCTCTGTCTATTTTGGAGCAGCAAGGAAATGAGGGGAAAAGTAAAATTAAATCAGGTAAAACAGTAATTGCACTTGAAAACTGTTGTTAACTGTTATATTTGACTTCAGCAAGTTGGAATGTGAAGACATCAACTTTGTTTCTTTCAGGAAAAATGCCTTTCAACTCTCCCACAATTTAGTTACAAGGAAGTTTTTAAGATCTCAAGCAGCCATAGATTTTTTTCAAGCACATCTTTAAGTTACACAGCTGCAAGAATTCATGGTCACCAACATCCTTGGGTATTTGGATCATGATGGGTGTGCAGTTCCTATCCAACCCCAAATCTGGGGGTCACTTCTTATTGCCTCCCAAGTATCTTTTGCTTCCCCTCCTGTGACACTGTCACCATACATTGCAAAGTTTCCTTCTTGTTTGAATCCTACTTAATTGTCTGTAAGGGCAGGATTGTGTCTGTCTCATTCACTCTTCTGTCTCAGCTGTATATTTGGCTCATGGATGGTGCTCATGAAATATTTGTTGAGGAGATGGATGGATGGATGGATGGATGGATGGATATCCAAAAGTGTAATTGTTTCTTTTGATGCCAGACACTT